GTGACCCAACCCTAGTGTGGGTATTTAATGGGTCTTCAGTTTTCGGGCTTAAATGTTTATGGGTTAATGATATTTAGCTTTATTCATGCTTTAATTGCTGAATTGGTGGTTACAAATACTGATTTGTGCCTTTTTGACTTAGGCTCTTCTTGAGAAAGAGAGACTAAGTCTAGGAAATTTAGGCTAACAAGGAATTGGGGTGCATTCAAGAGATTGATAGCCCCAAGGGTTAAACCTAGAGATAGTAATACCGACTTGAGCCAATTTTGCTTGCATTGTCTAAACACCCAATTGGGCTTGAGAAAGCCAATTAGGGAAAAGTTACTCAAACTACCGAGAGGTATAGAGTGAGTAATTATTTGCAATAGTTATATCATGATCCCAATTACAACAAGTTTTCCCTAAGTTTTAGACTCCGTTAGATACTCACCGAGGTGTAAGTCACTTCCCTAGTGCCCTTTTACCATTTGAGAAAACCCTTACAAAACTATCATAATTAACTTATTTTTATTCTTCATTAGTGTGAAAAGTAGAATAGTAACCAAAACAAAGCATGATTGGAAGTGCAATTAAGAACATCACACATACCTAGATTATATAGAAACTCAATTCCAAACTAATATTAGCTCTCTGTGGAAATCGATCCCGACCCCTCGGGTAAAAGCTTCATCGACCACTCTTGCTATTCTATAGTGGAATAGGGTTGGAGACAATCACCATGTCGATCCAATAGTAGTCGAATCTGATTATTTTTCGAATTAATGATTCGACGCCCGAATGATTTTTGCGGGTGCCTTCGTGGACTTCCCTCAGAACATACTCGGTATCTCTTAGTCCTAGACATATTGCGAGTAGGCTATCAAACATTCTCCAGAAATAGGGTATCGTCTTTGGAGAAGCTGAACCGGGCCGCCTCGTATGCAAAGCCCTCTACTGCTTAGGTTTCGAGGGCAGTTTTTTGGTCTTCAGATACTCTATATACTTGTTTCTCCAATCCCAAGTTAGGCTTGTTGAGTTTATCTCGGCATGACCTTCTTCCACTACCGATCTCATGAGTTGTATGACCGGCCCCGAGTTGAACTCATCATCATTGACCGACGATCCCAAGTTAGCGAGAGCATCGGCCTCACTATTTTAATCCCGAGGCACATGTTGTAGGGTCCACTCCTTGAATCGATGTAAAGTTACTTGTAGTTTATCTAGGTATCTCTGCATTCATTCCCCCTGACATCGAACATTCCACTAACTTGGTTCATCATAATGAGGGAGTCACACTTAGCTTCGATCACCTCTACCCCCAAGCTTTTGTCCAGTTCGAGACCTACAATCACAACCTCATATTTGGCCTCATTATTAGTCAATTTTATGGTCCTAATAGATTGTCTAACTACACTACTTGATGGTGGCTTTAATATTATGCCAAGTCCGGGCCCCTTTGTGTTTTAGGCACCATCTGTAAAGAGGGTCTAGTTTCCCAAGGAAGTCCCCGAGTTTAATAACAATTCTCTTTCGACTTCGGGTATTAGGGCCGGCGTAAAGTCAGCCACGAAGTCTGCCAAAATTTGAGATTTGATGGCGGTACAGGGTCGATATTTGATATCGTACCCACTGATTTCCACGACCTATTTGGCCAATAGTCCCGAGAGTTCAGGTTTATGCATTATGTTCCTCAATGGGTAAGTAGTTACAACACACATAGGGTGGCATTGAAAGTATGGTTTTAGCTTCCTAGAGGCGCTTAGCAAAGCAAGAGCCAATTTTTCTAGGTGAGGATACCTAGTTTCGGCCTTGCCGAGAGTTCTGCTAACATAATAGATAGGAAATTGCGTACCTTCTTCTTTCTGGACCAGGACTCCACTTACCGCCACCTCAGATACTGCCAAGTATAGGTACAGCTGTTCGTCTGCCTTCGGAGTGTGAAGAAAAGGCGGGCTCGAGAGGTACCGTTTGAGTTTCTCCAAGGCTTGTTGGCACTCTGGGGTCCACGAGAAGTTAATGAAACCGTTTAAAACTCAGATTGTAGGCACGATTTGATCTTGTCGACCGAGTTGTTCCACGACCCTCGATCTGATGTTGTTGGCCGAGATACCTGAATCAATTAACACATACTTAACTCAAGATTTATTTATGAGTACAGATATTACCAGTGCATCGTTGTGGGGTTGCACAATCCCTTCTACACCTTCGTAGTTGAAAGACAAATTTCCTTCTGGCACATAATCTTGATTCTGTTTATCCCTTATGATGGATACTTTGGTGCGCTTCAACATCGGCCCATGGGGAACGTCGATCCTATCGACGATCATGTTAATGAGGTGCTGAGGTTCTTTCTGCTCGATCTGTTTATTAGCACTCTTTTCCTGAAATGATTCTTGGCTCGATCGCTCGGGAATTGTTGGAGATGCCCGTTGTTAAATAGCTGGGCTACTTCCTCTCTTAATTGTCGGCAATCTTCTATTCTGTGTCCGTAAGTGCCATGATATTTGCATATTAGATTAGGATCCCTTTGGGCTGGATCGGACTGTAGAGGTCGAGGCCATTTGGTGTCTTTGATGCGCCTGATGGCAGATACGATGGCGGTGGCGTCGACGTTAAAGTTGTATTTCGAAAATTTTGGCACTTTTTGGGCCCGATGGTTCTGTCGAAACTGTTTCCACTTTTTTATCATTGGCTTCGATTTTTTTCTCTCCCGATTCTACCCGTTTTGTCAGCTCCTTGAGCATTTTTATGATCTCGGGGTCGGTTCCTGATTCATTTTCATTCGGCCTCTCTGCGACTAGTTCATTTCTGTTGATGGGTTGTCTTAGGCTCAATTTTGCTCGGGGCGCGGCTTTGGTTCTGGAGCTGGGCTATTGCTTCTTGTTGAGCCTGTAACATTTCGAAGATCACCCGCAAGTTGATCCTATCATCTTCGCCGCCGTGCATATTTTGTGCAACCGATCAGACTTCCCTGCAGATACTGTTTTTAGGATCGGTAGGCAAATTTGCATTGATGGCCACATGCGAGCTAGCGTCGATCGGGTCCGCAACTGGAGTTCCGTTGAGGTCGACAGGGGGCACCTCGTTACCGGGTGCATTGTTGTTCTCGCCATGGTGCCCGGATTCAGCATGGAGTTCGACATTTCAAACTTTAACCTGAAATCAAAGGCACTCCAAAGAACAAGTATAAAGTAGGGTGTGTTATAGAAGTTTGTATCAAATAGCTACTATTATCATTAGCCCCGCGGTGGGCACCAAACTGTTTACCCTCAAAATCGGATAACAATTGAATTTGTAATTGGTTTTAAGGATACATGGATTAATTTGACACAAAGCAATAAATTGGATTAGATTGAACAAGTAAAGATAAAAATAAATTCAAACCACACGCATAGGATAGTTTCAGCTTTAGCGAAATTTTCACCCTCGATCCGGGCTCACTGTGGCCAGCACTGATGAACAAGAAAAGAGCTACTAACAGAAAAAAGATAGTAATATATTGTCTTGGAATGCGTGTTACAATGTATGTTATGAATCGTCAGACCCTATTTATATAGTAGGAGAGTCTCGCTCTAGGTACAATTCTTATAAAAGGTAAAAATCTTCTAATTAACTGATTGTCGGTTCCCTATCGATACGTGCCGAGATCTCCGACGTGATATCCGGCCGATCATGGATATCACAGCCTTCTGTTGACCGTGCTTGATTACCTGACAACGTTCTTTGAAACTATTCAAAGCTAGGACTGGTCTCGAACCATGACCTCGATATTCTTGAGGACGGGCGTTGTGCCCCCGAACTCTGACTCGATGAGAATTTTGCCTCGATTTCGACCCCTTGTTATCATGCCTCGAGCTTGGCTTATTACGTCGGGGCCCGGGGTATATCACGAGCCCGGTTTTACCGTATACAATAATAATGTTTGCAAACCAAGTAAATTGTTGTCCCTAGTTAATCGAGAAATTTTATCTATTTAAAATCAGTTAACTACCATAAAAAGAAGAATTAAGAGCTTATATCAGTAGTTGCGTTTTGCCCTGTACAGTGAAATTCTCTTTCCTTGATGTCATCTTGTCTTTATTATCTTCTTATTTTCATTTCAATTTGTTATCATAATATAATCGCCACAACATACGCATAATGCTAAGTAGAAAAATCTATAGTATAAACAAAGTTAACAATTAATAGCCCTTTTTATATACAGGGTTGGTTGGAGAGTTATCACTATAGCTAGTCTCAGGTAGAAAAAGGAAAAAAGAAAGTGGCTTTTCTTTTTCTCTACTAATGATAGCTAATTTGATTGATATAACATGTCTTTTTAGTGCACTAAAAAATGAAAATAAAAAACGAAAAAATATCTGTATCTGGCTTATCCACGCTATCTTTAGCAAATGCTTCAACTAATTACTGATTAACGGCCTATGGAAGTAAACCTATATTACCAGTAAAAGGGCAGCTCGGTACACTAAGCTTCCGCTATGCGCGAGGTTCGGGAAAGGGTCAGACCACTAAGGGTCTATTGTATGCAGTCTAACCATGTATTTCTGCAAGAGATTGTTTCCACCACTTGAACCCGTGACCTTCTGATCACATGGCAGCAATTTTACCAGTTACGTCAAGGCTCCCTTCCTCTATATTACCAGTAAGCAAATGAATTAGCAGTATTAAACTCAAAAGAAAGCACAGTGAATTATTTAACTAAATAGAAAAAAAGCATATTGCTCCTTCAATATTTTTTTTGGTTTTTCCACCCAGTGTCTGGTACCCGCATTGGAGCCCAATTATATCCGGTGTCGCGCCGCATTGGGCCCCATTCAGGAGGAAGCGCTCCCTACAATAAATTTTTTCATATCCAGGTCTCGAATCCGAGACCTCTAGTTAAGGGAAGAACAGTCTCATCCGCTCCACAACTTTATCCTTTGGTGGTATTGCTCCTTCAACACAGAACTACATAAATATTGTACATTGAGCCCTAAGCCCTCGAATTACTCTGCCTTCCCTTATTTCAAAGTTAAATTTTTCCTCACTTTCACAATGGGATGGACAAAATCTGCTCGAGGAAATTTATCTTTGCCAATAATCACAATCATTATATGTACAATAGGTTTCATTTCTCTCTTCTACATTGACAAAATCAGTACTTATCACTCTGTTCTCAGGTTCAAACCTTGTTCAAAATGCACCTTTACAAAGTCTAACAAATCTCATACAGGTGAACCATCTGTTTTAATACTAGTAAATCAAAACTGCACTACTTCATATATATTTTATCATCTTACTTAAAAGTATTTTCTTGGCTTAATAGATGTAAAAAGATTGGAAAACAATACTCTAAACGAGTATGATCGCTATGAATGCAATCATACTGATGGAAATTGGGTGTTCAATACTTCAATTAAGCCATTGTATACGGACAGGACTTGTTCATATATTGACAGGGAATATGCTTGTGTTAAGAATGGCCGAAACGATTCAGATTATCTATACTGGGAATGGCAGCCTGATGACTGTGTCTTGCCAAGGTTAGCAAGCTAATTGAAATGTCAATTCCTATTCTGTATTTTTATTATGGATATTTATGTGAAATTGGTTCTTGTTTTAATTTTTGATACATGTTACAGATCGAACATAGGAGTTCAATTCAAAGACTAGTCTATTAGGTGGGAATATTCAACTATCCTATAAATTTACTAACAATTTTCTTTGTAATTTATGAGAGACTCAATTGACTCATAACAATCGCCCCAATCTGAAGATCGAGGACTTTGTTGATCATGACAGGCGCCAGGCTTGAACCCCTCTGGCCAAGTTGGTCAAGGGTGGTATAATTTTATTTTCTTTTTGGGGTCATGACTCTCACCCTTCTAGTCCAAGCCACACCCCTGGCATGCCGTCCCAATTGGTCACGGCTGGCACCCCTTATGGGTCTAGACTACCATTCCGAGTACTCTACCAGAGTAGTCGTTGGAATTGTTTCCTTAACCATTGATCAACCTGCTCTGATATTAATTATTATAGGCTGAACCAGAGAATCTAACCAAAAGAGTGGCTTATTATATGGGAGAGCCCACTCAACCTATAAACTCATTACTAATTCGCTTGGCAACAATGAGATACTCGTTTGGTTCACAACATATCATGCACACTTATGACTAAAAAATCTCAATTATGAAATGAAAATCTTTCTTGCATTAACGGTGAAATAATTAACGTGTACTTTCTTCTATGACTCGACCAGGTTTGATCCTGAGATTGCCCTCATAAAACTTCAAGGAAAGAGGCTAATGTTTGTAGGTGATTCACTACAGAAAAATCAATGGCAATCTTTTGTGTGCTTGGTGGAATCTATAATCCCGGAAGACCAGAAGTCGATGAAAAAAATAAGTCGTGGGCATTCTGTCTTTAAAGCCGAGGTAAATACTAAATCGTACTGGTCAACATAAAGACCTTGCCCTTTTCAAGAATTCATTTAAAATATATATATATATATATGAGTCCTGAGATCCAAATTCTGCAGCTAAATTTATCCACTTATTTTTCAGGAATACAACGCCAGCATTGAGTTCTACTGGGCACCATTCTTGGTGGAATCTAACACTGATTTTCATATCAAATTCAATCCAAATCAGAAAATCGTTAAGGTGGACTCAATTACACAACGTGCCCAAAATTGGCTTGGAGTTGATATCCTTGTTTTCAATACTTATGTTTGGTGGATGGGCCGACTCAAGATCAACACACTGTAAGTTCGGTGAAAATTTATTCACACCTGATATTTTACACTAAACTATACTAGTTAATCATGGTTAAGTAATATACTGAGGTATAAATCAACATACAATAGTAATTACTATGGTTTAAGTTATAGAAGTGCATCTAAAATACTTGTTGTGGATTTATTGATTTAGCGTAAATAGCGGGTGTGAGTAAATTTTTACCCTGTCAATTCTTTAGTAATCTCTCTGATCCTTTTTATTAGTCATTTTAATTAAAGAATTTTGGTCAAAACTCACTTTAGACTACTAAGAAGTGTTTTTTCAGTTCCAGCCTTACTAATCCAAGAAGGCATATAGTTACTAGTTACTCATTTAAGAAAGAAATAAGTATAATAATTTGCAAATACGCCTTAATGATTAATGCTATTTAATATTTTTTGATTAAAATGCAGATGGGGTGAATTTCAAAATGGAGAGGAAGGCTATGAAGAATTAGACACACCAGTTTCTTACAAACTAGCTTTGCGGACATGGGCAAATTGGATTGATTCCACAATTGATTCCAATAAAACGCGTATTTTTTTCACCACCATGTCTCCTAGCCACGAAAGGTAAATATGTCTTTTTTTTTTCCTTTAAAATAACCTCATTGAAGGAGAGCTTTGGAGCATAAAGTTATCTCTGTGTGACCTATAGGTCACGGGTTTGAGTAGTGAAAGCAGAATATATTGCTCGGACTCTCCAAAAATGTTGTCGGGCGAGTGTCAGATCCTCCAAAAATAGTGTATTTTTGGAGGATCCGACACTATTGCGGCAGCATTTTGAAGAGTCTGTGCAACATAGGAAGCAGCTACTAATGCTTGAATTAAGGTAAACTGTCTATATTACACTTTGCGGTCATTCCCTGGAGTACCCTATGTGTATACGAGATGCTTTGTGCGTCGGTCTGCCTTTTTTTTAAAAAGTAACGTCATTCATTTTGGTGGAACTTAAACTAACGCCATTTTATCAAACGTATATAATATTAATTCAGAAATAAAGATTGGGGCAACATAAATGGGATCATGTGCTACAATGAGACAAGACCAGTAATGAAGAAGGGACACTGGGGATTTGGTTCAAACAAAGAGATGATGAAAGTAGTGGCAAGTGTGATCAAAAGAATGAAAGTTCATGTTACTGTACTGAATATCACACAATTATCTGAGTACAGAATTGACGCTCATTCATCAATTTATGGTGAATCATATGGCAAATTATTGACTAATGAACAGAAAACTGATCCTTTGCGTTTTGCGGATTGTATACATTGGTGCTTGCCTGGAGTTCCTGATACATGGAATCGATTACTTTATGCGTATCTATAGCCACAAATAAAAAAGAAAAAAGAGGTCGAATAGTTCATGTCTCATTCATATTATTATTAACTTATGTGCTATGTGTAGCGGCTGGTGAATCCTACCCGATATCAGAATTGGATTAAATATTTATCGGTTTCCGAGAATGGTTTTAATGGCGATTGGTCTCCTCTTCTCCGGATGTCTAATGGTTTGGGAGATATTTTATATGGTTATTTTGTTGTATTTTGAATGAATCAAAATGGTAAAGCAAAATGTCATTACCATATGTGAATTGTAAATTATAAGCTGGTACATGATCCAACTGATAATAACAACAAATGATCCTCTGTTTACTCACAACTTGTTTTCCTCTTTTATTTATTTATTACTATTTAATAGTAATCAATACCGCCATCTGATCTTGAGATAACAGGAATTGGAAGTTTAACAAAAAAAAACGAACGTTTGTGTCAAACTAATGTACTTTGTCATGATTACGTAACAAATGCCGTGAAAATACAAGTTAATTAACGATAGTTATTAGGTAATAAAAGAGTATGTGGAAGATCCATGCCTGTTATTATTAGTCTAGTATAAACATTAGATATGGATAAGTTTTTACGAAAATGACTAAGGCTAGTTTTATTATACAAAAAAAAAAAGTAAGGGTTAATTACACAAAAGGCCACTCAATGTACAATATTAGTGCAAAAGAATAATCAAACTAATAATTCTAACCACAAAATCACTCAACTTTAATTGATAAGGCCAAAATTGGTGAAATCTTGAAAATCATTAAAAACTATTTTAAAGTAATGTTCCATGACAAATTAAAAAAGTCATGGATATCAAACTTCTATATGTCATTGCAAATAAATTCATTATTAGGCGTCCGTTTGGATCGGTTTGTTTTAAGTGACTTTTAAGCCAAAATAGCTTTTAAGTCATAAGTTAGGAATTCTAACTTTTTGCTTTTGGCTTGTTTTTGTCATTTTAGCTTAAAAACAAGTACTTAAAATCATTTTTTTACTTTATTCAAACAGTACAAAATAACTTAAAAGCTATTTTAGCTTAAAAGCACTTAAAACAAGTCAATCCAAACGGGCTCTAGGTTTTGTAGTTGTCTTACACCATGTCGTTTCATATACCTCAAACAGAGCAAAAAGAATTCCTTCTTAATGAGTAGGGTTGTATTATCTGATAATTCTCAATATTTGTTGGTAATATTTACAAAAACTGTCATAGGATTAAAGATATGAATTTTTCATTATCCTATGGTAAAGTTACCAAGAAATTTCACCCATTTTTCTTCTATTATCTTTCTTGGGAGTTTATGCAAGGTAATACATTGTACGTGAAACCTTAACAAAAATGCAATGAGCTTTTACTAAAAGTTAAAAAATTTCGTATATACTTGACGGATAATGGAGTCAAATATTGGGGCAAGTTACAGATTTGACCGGTCAACTAAAAATAATTTCGCTAAGCCAATATATAAAAGATATACATTGATTATATATAAAATATGTATATTTTTTGTATTTATACATTAATATACAAAAATTATACTCCATCCATTTTAATTTATGTAAACCTACTTGATTGGGCACGGAGTTTTAAAAAAAGACTTTTGAATTTCTAGTGTAAAATAAAGCACATATACTTTGTGTGACTATAAATCATTGCATAAAAGTAAATTGTTCCAAATGTGAAAAGAGATATTTCTTTTTGGTAAAAAATAAAAAGCAACTAAATTCACATAAATTAAAATGAAAGGAGTTTATTTTGCCGGCTATTATTTTTTAGAGCGGCTATCTTATGTAGTTTCCTTTCTTTTTCTTCTTTTACCTCCTCGTCTTTTTACTGCTGGCCCATATCTGTAAGCCCATAATTACTCAGACCACATAGCCCACTAGTCCAGTCACCTTATAAATATTATTTCCCCAACAGTTAATCCAATTCCTCGTTTCGCAAGTTAGGGTTTCATCAATCTCGTCCGTTCCTTTTGCTCACCTTTTCGATTTTTCTTTATAAAAAACTGTAGTTGTTTATTTATTGCTTCACTTTCTTAATTGTTGATAGTTGGTGCAATCTCAGCCATGGCTGGTGGAGGAAATTTCCTTCATAGAGTTATTTCTTATGTCGCCAATGAATTAATCGTCAATGGCCTCGCCAACAGGTAATTATTTTTATAAACTGTTTGATTGAGCTTTGAGTTATTTCTTTCCGTTTAAATTCAAATTTATAGTTTTATTATTCTTTTCAAGTCAAAATTGAATTTTTTTTAGGGAAGGTGACATAAGTTGAGCTTTTATTGAAGAAGTGAGGATTTCTATAGCCAACCCCATCTATTTTGGGACTGAGACATAGTTATTGTTATTGTTTGGAAGAGGGGGGGTGACAATATTGAGCTTTTTTATAACATACTGTAATCAATTTCGTGCATATATTCTCTCGTAAAAGAATCATCTTTACTTTTTGTTGCACCTCAAATTTTGCTTGATCATTTAATAAAAGAAAAATTCGTTAGTAGTGAAGAAAGCTCGTTGCTATGAATACGATGCAATAATCCACCTTGGTGAGGCGTGTGTCAAATGCCAATATTAGGAACCTTAAGATGGGTTTGTCTTGTATGAAAGATCTGCCATTTATTCGTTGGTGATGTATAGCGCTGTTAAACGGGTCGGTTGGGGTGGATTGGTTTGGGGATGCTGTAAATGGGTTGGGCAACAATGGTTTAAAACCCAAGCCACCCATATTTAATAGGGGTTGAGTGATGGATTATATAGGTCAACCCATGTTCTGTAAAAGTATCTCCCAAAAATGAAAAATGAAATTATGAAATGGGTTATCTTTCTGCTGCCCGCTATAGCATTTTGCTGATAGTATCTCCCAAAAATGAAATAAATCTAAGTTTGTGTTTGTTAATTTCATTTGTGAGCTATGTTATTATAATTAGACATTAGTTTACATGTTTTAGTGAATTCAAAACTATTTCTGAATGAGCTCAGTTCTCATCTATTTTGATATGGGATTTTTATTTATGATCCAATCTGGAGTCTCTAAAAATGACAACTTTAGAATTGATATAAAGTTAGTTAAATATTGAGAAGGAAACATCTCTCCAAATGAAAGAAAAATAGTTCTTTGGAAGAAAAAAAAGAAGAAAAAAATCACCACAAATGACTAATTTGATTGCAAATTTGAAACCTCACTTTAGGTTAAAGGAACAAAACTCATCCTCTGGCTCTTAATCCTCCAATAGTTGAAGTTCAGAAATGCAGAGCACTGTTTCTATGAAAGCACTGTTTTATTTATTGTATTTTGTGGTTCTCTCCATTTTAATTTTCTGGTTTTTTGTCTATTTTTTTGTTTCTCTATCTTTTTCTTTTCCATTGCATGAAATGCTACAAAGGGAATATATACTTTCCTTCTTTAAATATTTATAATGTCGAATAACTAATTTCTGAAAGTAATCACATTCACCCATGTTTGGCTGTTCCTGAATCTGCACCTCTTCACAAGATAACTCATTCAGCATGGAACGTGAGACAAAGTAGGACACTTTCTCGTGCTTGTCATTGGACAGTGACAAAAATATGATAGCTGGTTGAACAAGAAAAGCTAGTAAAGCTCATTTTTTAGAAAAAAATCAGAACCAGAAAAAGAAATAACTTTTCTTATGCAAAAGTTACGTATCCTTGGTCATCTTCTAAAAAATCTGATGAATTGAGGCTGCTTGGCCATCTCCTCATTTTAATTTTGTACGTTTGTAATGGTTGTGAGATGATATACATCTTCTTATCGTTATTCTATCTTAGTGCATGTTGAGAAAGACATTACTTTTTCCAAGTATCTGTTTCCATGATGTCATTTGCTTTGACTGGAACAAAGATGTCCTTTCATCAATTCCAGGGTGGTTTGCTGTGTGCTGTCGTATATGTGAATCTTATGTCGTAGTGCATCCCAATCCTTGTCTCTTGCTATGCAACTACAAGCAAAATCAAAGGTGATTTTCATTTTTGTGTAGTTTTAACTAAACAAAGAACAAGAAACCTATTAAATTTGGTTGCCTTACATTAAATATGTGGTAGCCTATTGGACTAAGTCATCCTCGTTTGTTCTGTTGCCTACTATTTCTGGTAGTCATCGTAGTTGTTTCGGAAACGTTATGCAGTCTTAGGAACTTTGTATCATGTCACTAGGTTGTTGGGTAAAAGGAGAACTATACTTGTCTAATTTTTTTTATAGATGTACACTTTTTTATTCTCAGTGGAAAGAAAAGAAAAGGAAAGGAAGTCCTTTTAGTAATTTTGGTAATGCCTACTAAAATGCCTTCTTCCTCTTTATCATAGCCCTGCTTTTCAAAGATTTGCAGTGAGGTCATCAAGAAGAATGGAGGATCTATCTAAAATGGGTAACTACTATTTCCAGCATTTCCCTTGTCCTCTTGAAGCTTTTAGGCTGTTGTGACCATTTGTTTTGGTACTTGCAGCTCAGCAGAAGAGGCAAGAACTTGTTAATAAGGTGGAGGATGTGTCCAAAAATTTTGAGGTATCAAATCTGAAGCTCTTCACAATCAAATATATATAACCTTGTGCTAGTGATTAATTTATTTTCCGATTTACGTTTGCAGTCTTTCAAGAACCAATGATTTGGAAGCTTGGTGTACAGGGTATCTCCTATTTGCGTGTTTGGATTGGATTTTAAGCCGGTCAAATCAGCTTTTAAGCTCTTTTTAGCTTTTTCACTATTTGGCAAAGTCAAAAGTGCTTAAAACAAGCCAAAAGCACTAATTTGGTCAACCCAACTTATTGTTTTTTTGGCCTATTTCTGACTTCCGTTACTTCTAAGCTTCAAGCATGAAGGAATTCAAAAGCTTGTTTCTGTCTTTTCAACTATTTTTTGTTTGGCAAATTGCTACTAATATAATACGTGGGAGTTGGGACTTGGAGAGGACATGAAGGACATTTTCAGAAATATGTTGTTTATTCATTGTACAATCTGCTTTGTAGACTTTGGACTTGTCAAAAAGCTCGGCTACCTTTTCAACTAATTCCATTCGCTTTCTAGATTAAAGACTCAGTTGCCTCATTTCTGTTCTTTTTCCGTTCGTCTTTTATATTCCAGGTGCATAAAGATTATTCTAACGAGAAATAATAAATAAAATCTATATCTATATATTTATATAAAGCTGGGCAATTGAAAAACTTATGTGGCATGTCTCTTAAGCCACCATTCTTATTTATCTTTTTTTCTCAGATTTTCACAAATTTTTCCTCGTTTTTCCCTTCAAT